AGAGAGAAAGAGACGTGTAGAGTGAAGACATGGCACAGCCGACGAGCAGCGCGTTACGGGCGCTCGCCCTGGAGTACAAAAGCCTACAGGAGGAACCCGTCGAAGGCTTTCGCGTCAAGCTGGTCAACGAGGACAACATGTTCGAGTGGGAAGTCGCGATCTTCGGTCCACCCGACACTCTCTACCAGGGCGGATATTTCAAGGTACCCCGCTGTGCCCCTCTGTGCTGTTTACGGTGTGCATACGTGCGCGCGTGTGTATTTACGGGAGTCGCACCGAGCAACGGCGATACAGGCGATATCGACGGTGTTAGCTCCGCGTTTATACCAGTTTATACGCGCCCCGTCGGTCCCTTCTTGGTTATGTCGCGCTTGTCTACGTCGCGTCCCGTTTCCCACTCCGTCCGAGCCCGAGTTTAATCGGTATTCCACGTAGGAGATTTTTCGTTCACCTCGAAAACGCGTCCTCCTTATCCGCGTTATCGTAAAATAAACAAAGGGTCTTTGTGCGAGCTGTGCCTTTTAAATATGTCCCATGGCGACCTGGCACATATATATTATTTTTACGATAAAACACTTTTTACGATAAAACACGGATTAAACGCGTATCTTAACTTGGCGCATAGTGCAACTCGACGTTATTGACTATCGTTTCGGTTTGCCAGTAAATCCATACGTATACAAGTATAGAGCACGGATTCTATTCTTGGTAATGTGGTGTGGAATACTTATCGCCGCGTGATATCGCGAACATGCATTTGCAACATGTTGTATCTATTCCACTTTGCTAAATACTGAAAATATCTGATATCGAAAAAGGTAGAAAGTTTAAATAAAGTTGACGTATAATTTGATAGATGCAATCGCAAAGATTACTGCGGTTAAATATTGGATTCAAAAACTATTAACGTCTGCACAGCTGAACTATTTGTATTATTCATCCTTTGCGAACGATGTAATTCGATAATAATTATTAATATTTCGACTGCTGTGGCTCACATGACCGCTTTTAATTAGTTTGTGATTTATTCTTGAAGCCAAGGAAATAAATTTATATGTTTGTATCTAATTAAAAAAAAATTATTTTTTAATTAAAAACCGCAGTCTAAATGCGTAGATTGTTTACGTCGAGACTGCGTTTCTGAAAACATGTGGCTTATAATTTGCATTCTATTTTCATAAATCAGATATTTACATTTTGTAGCCTACTCTAAAAATGAGTTATTTATTTGTCTATTTAATTTTAGGAAAAACAAATATTTTTCAAAACAGATTTAGAGGATATCGTCACATTGTAGGCATCCAAATTTGTAATACGAGGAAACAATGATCTGTCAATCGATGCCTATAATTAACTCGATAATGAAACGATTCGAATGATCTGTTTTATCGTCGCCAAATGTTTGCACGTGTGACAATGCGGAATTTCGCGTCGCCGCACAGCTCGAGCGCCTTGTTTCCTATCCTTGAGCCAATGTTTATCTCAGAAACTAAAGCATTTTCCTGCCAAGTGAATTCTGACAATCACATGCGAGTCATTGAGACTACCTTGACCGGTTGATGAAGTCCAATGCTTGGACTTGGACATCTATTATCTTTCCCTTTTTTCAGTCGCCGAAGATTGATTATTCTTGCATTAATATTTAACAAAGTTAGATAGGAAATAGTAACGTTTTAATCAGATAAATAATTTGGCTCTTTTGTTAGATTCGAAATATCGACGTTCTGTCTTTTCTCTTAAAGTCACATTCAAAAATGTTACGTCTGATGGTGAAAAATGTGTGAAATGTAAATGCACGTGTGTGAGAAAAAGATCGAAATGATTTTTCACTTCTGACGACACGAACCAGTGCGATTGCAGAGAAGAGGCAAAAAGAAGCTTTAATGCTCAGCCAGGTTAAAACGCCAGACTGTAAAATGAGTTCTGTCATTGCCGCCGCGGCGCTACGAAGTTTTTGCATGTCCCGTCCGCTTTCTAAACCACTCTCTGCCTCGTCGTGAACGAGTGAACGCCTATTCACGTAACGCAACGTATCTTCCCACAACGTAACCGACAATAACGAGCGCGGCGGTTCTTGCAAGCCGTGTACACCTTGCGCATGTAAATCCCTCTTCGTGGTTATTTCGAAAGACTGCGTCCACTGCTCCGCTCGGAGCACTGAATTAATCTATTATCCATTTTACCGTAATCGTGTTAGACCTTAATCGGTGAATGCTTGCGTTGCGCCGTGCTCAGGTAAACAATCGCTTTCATCTTACGCTGCGTTTGAGGTATCTTCGTGAATGAATAACTTTACGTACTATCATTTCGTTGTCTAAAGGGGTACGAAGTTTCTCGCCTTTATTTATGAACTTTTTCTGGTTAGTTTAAAATCAATTTTTTCCGTTACGAATATTTTGCGAGATCAAACGGCTGATAAATTTAATTGTTTCGGGTTTTAGCTTTATAGATCAAGTTTTATAATGCAAATTTATACAGGACTTTATGCCTTATTTAGCTTGAGATAAACTTCATTTCGCAGAACGCTAAAGGTAGCAACGTAACTATGTATAACGGAATGAGGCTTATCAAAGTCGCGAAAGAGCATTGCGACGTAATTTCGTATCGCGATGATACGAAACGGAACGCTGAAAGAATTGCGTATGCACATAATCTGATTGGATCACGCCTCCCTCATTCATTTTTAATGATCACTGCCTTTTAAAACGAAGCGGAAAATTTCAATTTGACTTGGATTTATGATTGTGTATTCGAAACGTGCGTATGTTGGCACGCGATACTTAAATATCAATGTCTCTCTCGCATTTTAATAGCACATGACGGAGATATCGAGTCTCGTACTCTTTCGGTCTTAACGACGATCCTGGCGATCTTCTCGCAAGATTACGTTCTGCTTATCGAAAGAATCCCCTGTCCCTCCCCTGTCCCCTGATCAAAATTTATGCACGGCTCGGTAAAAGATAGCCGATACGGTTGCCAAGTTACATAAAATGCCATCG